CTGGAGGAGCCATCATGCGCTCCCCTGCCCCCAAGCCCTGATTGGCCTGGGGGTGGGGGAGCATACGAAGCCTCTTCCCGCCCTGGTTATGGGTGCCTAGTGGGAAGGAGGGGCAAAGAGGCTCTCGCATCCCCAGATCAGTCATGGTCTGGGGAAGGGGAAGCCCAGAAGCCTCCTGGCCCCCGCCCCTTCTGGTTCTGGCCCCTTCCCGGCCAGAAATGATTGCCCACCCCTGGAATAGGGACACCATTACTACCCATCCTGGCTAATAGCTATTTATGGACCTTACCTCCATGAAAATCTCTCTAGCTCTTTTTTGAACCTGTTAAAGTCCTAGTCTTCACAACACCCTCTGGCAAGGTGTTCCACAGGTTGACTGTGCACTATGTGAAGAAAAACTTCCTTGTGTTTGTTTAAAACCTGCTGCCCATTAATTTCATTTGGTGACCCCTAGTTCTTATATTGTGGGAATAAGTACATAACCTTTCCTTATTCACTTTTTCCACACCAGTCATGATTTTATGGACCTCTATTATATCCCCTCTTAGTCTCCTCTTTTCTAAGATGAAAAGTCCAAGTCTTTTTAATCTCTCTTCACACGGGACCCATTCCAAACCCCTAATCATTTTAGTTGCCCTTTTTTGAACCTTTTCCAATGCCAATATATCTTTTTTGAGATGAGGCAACCACATCTATATGTAGTATACAAGATTTGGGCATACCATGGTTTTATGTAGAGGCATTAAGATATTTTCCGTGTTATTCTCTATCCCCTTTTTTAATGATTCCTAACATTCTATTTGCCTTTTTGACTACTACTGAGTGGATGTTTTCAGAGAACTATCCACAATGACTCCAAGATCTCTCTCTTGAGTAGTTGTAGCTAAATTAGTCCCCATCATATTGTACGTATAGTTAGATTATTTTTTCAAATGTGCATTACTTTACATTTATCAACATTAAATTTCACTTACCATTTTGTTGCCCAATCACTTAGTTTGGTGAGATCTTTTTGAAGCTCTTCACTCTGCTTTGGTCTTCACTTTCTTGAGCAGTTTGGTATCATCTGCAAATGTTGCCACCTCACAGTTTACCCCTTTCTCTAGATCATTTATAAATAAGTTGAATAGGATTGGTCCCAGGACAGACCCTTGAGGGGACCCCATTAGTTACCTCTCTCCATTCAGAAAACTTACCATTTATTCCTACCATTTGTTTCCTGATTTTTAACCAGATATCAGTCTATGAAAGGACTTTTCCTCTTATCCCATGATAACTTACATTGCTTAAGAGCCTTTGGTGAGGGACCTTGTCAAAGGCTTTCTGGAAATCTAAGTACACTATATCCACTGGATCCCCCTTGTCCACATTTGTTGAACCTCTCAAAGACCTCTAGCAGACTAGTAAGGCATGATTTCCCTTTACAGAAACCATGCTGACTTTTCCCCCAACAAATTATGTTCATATATGTGTTTCACAATTTTATTCTTTACTATAGTTTCAACTAATTTGGCCGGCACTGACATTAGACTCGCTGTTCTGTAATTGCCAGGATCACCTCTAGAGCCCTTTTTAAATATTGGTATCACGTTAGCTATCTTCCAGTCATTAGGTATGGAAGCTGATTTAAAGCATAGGTTACAAACCACAGTTTGCCATTTGAGTTCTTTCAGAACTCTTGGGTGAATGCTATCTGGTCCCAGTGACTTGTGAAGTTTATCAATTTGTTCCAAAACCTCCTCTAATGACACCTCAGTCCGGGACAATTCCTCAGATTTGTCACCTAAAAAGAATGGCTCAAGTTTGGGAACCTCCCCAATCCTCAGCCGTGAAGACTGAAGCAAAGCATTCATTTAGCTTCTCTGCAATGACTTTATCATCTTTGAGTGCTTCTTTAGCATTTCGATTGTCCAAGGTCCCCACATGTTGTTTAGCCATCTTCCTGCTTCTGATGTTGTAGCCAGACAGACACCCCCCCCCAATATCATCCATCTTATTTGCCTTCCTGAAGCATACAGGACAGAGAAGGAGCAATAAAATAGTCTATGCTGGCTCATCTGATCCTGAGAAGCTGAAAACATAGAAATGAGGAGAGAACGATTAAGGCAATAAGCTGGCCTCGAGGCTGCGAGAAGTACCTGGCTGGCACCCATGTTGATACAAACACACAGTCCCTGGAAGAGGAATTTCCCACTGAGAAAAGAATGCCCAGTACTTCCAATTTAGTTATCTCTCTTACAAGTGTAAATTAAGTTCACAACTCCCTTGTAAGAACTGGTCTCACAAACATTCATTTAGCTTCTCTGCAATGACTTTATCATCTTTGAGTGCTTCTTTAGCATTTCGATTGTCCAAGGTCCCCACATGTTGTTTAGCCATCTTCCTGCTTCTGATGTTGTAGCCAGACAGACACCCCCCCCCAATATCATCCATCTTATTTGCCTTCCTGAAGCATACAGGACAGAGAAGGAGCAATAAAATAGTCTATGCTGGCTCATCTGATCCTGAGAAGCTGAAAACATAGAAATGAGGAGAGAACGATTAAGGCAATAAGCTGGCCTCGAGGCTGCGAGAAGTACCTGGCTGGCACCCATGTTGATACAAACACACAGTCCCTGGAAGAGGAATTTCCCACTGAGAAAAGAATGCCCAGTACTTCCAATTTAGTTATCTCTCTTACAAGTGTAAATTAAGTTCACAACTCCCTTGTAAGAACTGGTCTCACAAAAGACAGACCAGCACCATTTGGCATCACAGATAAGAAAGAGAAATACGTGACACCATGGGTATAAAGGTGGGTACAGCAGCGCACTCACTTTTGAGTGTCAATCTACCCTCTACCTGCTGGTTGGGTTAGGTGTTTGACCTCCTGAGGTTCTATGGGGACGCCCACCTCGTATTTTCGTCTTTCCTAGGAATTGAGGGACCGGCCCTGGCCTGACATGCTGGAGTCGAGAGGTACAGAAGGGGGTAAAAATTGTACCTGGATGTGGTCCTCTGTCTTAAGTGTACACATAGAAAGAGTAAGCTGTTACTTGGTACCATTATTTCTATTTTTCTATCTTTATCTTCTTTGTAACCATTTTTAAGATCTACTATATTTTGCTAATAGTTAAGAAATAGAATAGCCATTGCAACCATATGATTTATAAGCTTCCTCAATAAACCTGTAACTGTTTAAGCTTTAACCTGACTCCTTCAGTTGCTGTAACAGAACCAGGCACAATTTAAAAGAACTTCAGCCGGTCTTAAGGGACAGATATAGGGAGAGCTTGGGCGTTTGGATTTGTGTCACTCCCAGATGGCAGATCCTTTGGGGCACTTCTCAGCCTCCCCCAGGCTGCCCGCTGCGAAGGAATCAGATTCTAGCAGCTAAAATCTGAAGTGTAATAAGCTCTCCCTGCAAACTTATTGGGGCACTCGTCAACCTTCTCCAGGTTGCCCGCTGCAGGGGACCCCGGTCTCAGTGGTTGAAGTCTCGGGTGTATAGCACGCACACACACACACCACTCACTGCCCTGACCGTCGGCTGACAGATGTACTTAAAAAAACATTTTGCTGTTACTTTTTGAGTTTTTGGCTAGCTGTTCTTCAGGCTCATTTTTGGCTTTTCTTCTTATATTTTTACACTTCATTTGACAAAGTTGATGCTCCTTTCTATTTTCCTTATTAGGATTTGACTTCCACTTTTTAAAAGATGTCTTTTTATCTGCCATTGGTTCGTTTACTTGGTTGTTAAGCCACGGTGGCCCTTTTTGGTTCTCTAACTGTGTTTTTTTAATTTAGGGTTTACATTTAAGTTGGGCCTCTATTTTGGTGTCTTTGAAAAGTTTCCATGCAGCTTGCAGATATTTTACTTATGCCACTGTACCTTTTAATTTCTGTTTAACTATCTTCCTCATTTTTATTCAGTTCCCCTTTCTGAAATTAAATGCTACAGTGTTAGTTTGCTAAGGCGTTTTTCCCACCACAGGGATGTTAAATTTATTACATTATGATCACTATTTCAAAGTGGTCCAGTTACATTTACCTCTTGAATCAGATCTTGTGCTCCACTTAGGACTAAATCAAGAAATTGCCTCTCCCCTTGTGGGTTCCACGTAACACTAAATGTCAGTGTTGTTCTAATGGTCTAGAATTCTAAGAGCTGCTGTAGTATAACCAGCTTGAGCCTGCAAAGACTCGAGCACATGCTTTTTTTATGCTTTGAGTAATGCCATTGAAATTATTGACTATTCAGGCTATGTCTACACTGCAGACTTCTTGTGCAAGAACTGTTTTGCGCAAGAGTTCTTGTGCAAAAGATCTCGTGCAAGAGTGCATCCACGCTGCCATGTGCTTTTGCGCAAGAGCGTCCCTGGCAGTGTGGACGCTCTCTTGCACAAGAAATCTCTGATAGCCATTTTAGCCATCGGGGTTTCTTGTGCAAGAAACCCCTGTTGCCCATCCACACTGCCTTCTTGTGAAAGAGCTCTTGCGCAAGAGGGCTTATTCCTCGTGGGGAAAGAAATAACTCTTGCGCGAGAAGCCCTCTGTTCCAACCCTTCAGGGGGTCGCCGAATTAGTCTGTTACAGAAAAGCACACTTCTTCAGAAAGCTCATGATACCATCTCCATGTTTTGTTAGTCTATAAAGTGCTACCAGACCATTTGCTTGCTGTTTTTTCTGTTCCGGCGCGTTACTGTAAATTTACTTGCCCGAGAATGCGTGTGCAGTGTAGACGCTCCTCAAGTTTTTGCGCAAGAACAACCATTCTTGCACAAAAAGCCTGCAGTGTAGATGTATCCTCAGTGTGCGAAATTGAGCATGTAGGAAAGTCTTGGCAAGATTGGAGTGAATTATGAGAATAAATGTGACTTTAGCAGGTATTGTCCATCACAAACATCTGATTTCAAAATATTACAGTAGTATAGAATTGTTTGTTTATATTTTATTAAAAAGTAACATGCATCTGGCTCGGTATGCTTCTTTTCAAACTACTACTCTTCTTTTCCTTGTAGTGGCAGAGAGAATGGATGTAACTGGATACTGCAGGGATCTAATAAAAATACTAGAACAAGCAGATAACATGAGTGAAAAACTCACTCCACTGAAATTAATTGATGCTTGGCTGGGCAAAGGTGTGTCAAAGTTAAGAGTGGCTGATGTTGTTCCTCCAGCACTCCCCCGTGATGAACTGGAAAGGATTATTGCCCATTTCCTTCTGCAGCAGTATCTGAAGTAAGTGTGACCATTCATTTCTTACCTTTGAAATCTAGTAATTACTTTCTGTGCAACAGTGGTGTCTTGGTATAATATCATAGTAGTGGATGTGTTAGCAATTTGTTCATTTCAGAAGCTTCTAGTCTGGCTATGAAAAGTTTACACAGAGTATTATTTTTCTATTTACTCTTGGAAAACAATCTGTGTGTCATTTTTAACTTGAAAAATTTAATAATGAAAATGTTGCTTAACATAATACGTTTCTGGTTTTGTAGTTTAAAAACGCTGCTGCTTTTAAAAAATGCTAAATGTTTTAATGATGGTCCCCAATCCTTCAAGTGTCACTGAGGATTTGTGTAGCATGGCATTAGTTTCAGTGAGATGAGATAAGTGAAGAAAGCTACCTCTGCAGAACCTTTCGCAGCATTAGGGGTTTACTGTCACATGAGATTTTAAAAAAACACAGCGAAAATGACACTGAATTAATTTTGTAACTTGTTATTCCTTGTATGTCTGCTGCTTTCTTTTCAACATAAGGATCTCTAAATATATGGGACTCTGACATCCTTTCTGTCATGAACAAATGACAAAGGATTTACATGGTTGACCTTTAGGAGTCTTAGTGGCCAGGAAGGTGACCAGCTCAAAATATTATCCTCTTCCCCCCCCTTCCTTCGCATCCGGGTATCATATCATTTGTATCCCACTAGATGAATAAGAAGCACTGAAAAGTCAGCAAAGTGAAATAAAGTGCCCATCATAAGAGTCAGTCCTGCCAACTCCCATTTTAATTCAATTATTATTTGCTTGCATAGATGCAACAAGGTCAAGCCATTAGTGGGGCATCTGTTCATATCAGTTCCCAAATGTCTCCACATTTTCCTCTCATATCTATTCTGCCCACTTTACTGCTCTGAGTTTTTAATCTGACGGTGGCTTAACTTTTGCAGAGAAGACTTCAGTTTCACAGCGTATGCTACAATAGCCTACTTGAAAATAGGACCCAAAGCTGATCTGCTGAAAAATGAGGCACATATTATCACCATACAAGGGAGATCAAACAAAAAGGTATTTGTGTGTGTGTGTGTGTGTGTGTGTGTGTGTGTGTGTATTTGTGTGTATCTCTCTATCTATCTCTATCTCTATCTGTGTATATATATATTTAGACAGAGACAGAGGGACATTACTTATTATTTTTCTTCTGTTAGTATTTACCACAGTTGGTCAGTGCCTGTTTACTGTGCGGAGAACCAAGAATGTTTTCTTCAGTGTACTCCCTCTCTACCTGAAATATGTTAATTTTAAGCCTTCTGCAATAGTGTCTTATTTTTCCAACTGCACGTCTGAAGATGCAAAACATAAGAGGGTGCAGAAGAGGGAGAAAGTCTTGTACTGATTTAAACAAAAAAAAGTCAGAAATGTCATTCTCTACACTTCACCTGAACAGATTTACTCGTTCTCACTGTGTGTAATACAGTGGAATTAACATGTGTAATCTATGCATTTAGAAGCATATTGCAGCAAGAATATCATTCTTTGAATTCCAGGTAATATAAATATTAAACCACTGTTGTCACTATGGAGTGTCTCTTACAGCTCTCATAAGTTACAGGTTTCACATTGGGCATTATGGAAGTGTTGATTTATAGCTGAAACCATTTTGACAATAAGTCAAAAGCTATATAGCTATAGCAACATATTCTTTCCTGTTAAACTTGTGCAAATCCCTAGCAATGCTATCAATTTTACATGATATGATGTGAATTCTTATAACAAGAACTTGAATCAATTAATAGATTTATTTAGAAGAATTGTTGCTGTGTCATTATTAAGTGTAACTGAATCAGTCTACAAATGACATTTCAAGTTGCCTGTCTATCCCCAATTAAAATACAGATTAACAAAATTGTGATACTTAAATAAAATTAGGGACCACTTACATTTTATAGCTATTTCGACAGAAAGTTAAAATAGGTTTCGATCCTGCCAGATTTTGCTCATGTAAGAACTGTGCCATGTGAGCAAGAATTTATCAGATCAGACCCTTGATCAGCTCTAGTGAGGCTGCAATTGGTTGCATGTTGGCTTTGTCATTAACAGGAAAATCTCGGGAATTTTACATAGCAGCTTAATAGAATGCGTCATTGCTACATCATATGTATTTGTCATATCCCTTTAAAGCCAGTAATATCTATTATAGGTTCAGCTGTATCATTCTCCTGAATATAGCAGGTACTGTAATATACTGTTAATGCTGTCCTGTGTGCATTACCTTTTTGAAGAAATTTGGCATATCACAGGAACTTCTCATAGGTGCTGTTGCAAAGGAGCAAAGCAATAGCCATAACAAGAACTCATCTGTACTTCACTCGTAATAAAACTTGATCATTATACTACATCTATGTATTGAAAGAGGGTCATGGTCTTAACTGAGTTTTGTTTATGATCCACAGGTCAAATCTTCTCAGGCTTCTAATTCTGAAGGGACTGGTGGAAATGTACAAGACGACATTTCTAAGACAGTCCAAAACGCTGCTGCAAAGAAGGCAAAAGAACATAAAAGGCGTCATCGTGAGAACAGCTTTAAAGCAAAGAAGAGTAAGGTTGAGGAGGAGGAGGAGGATGATGATGATGATGACCGGCTGGTAGTCCTTGTCTGAATTTTACAATGAAAAGTGTATCTAGGATCCTGCTGTCTCTGCTTCTCTATGAGAACTTGGTGCAGAAATGTAATTTGTATTTTATTAATTGCTTCTTTTAAATGCAAAGCATTTGTGTTAGTTGTTCCTTAAAAAGATTGGGCAAAATCTTAATGCAATTTCTGAACATGCAAGCAGACAAAAATCTGGCAGCATGGTGTTAACCCTTTGTTTATCCACTGACTGCTTATTACCAAAATAATCAGTATCTGGTGATATGGCTGTGATGTCACAGATGCAGACTGTTGCAATATATATAGCTTTTTTTAACCCTCTTACGTTACAAAGCACATAGTGTCGGATAGTACAGTATACTGTAGTAATGCTCTTACAAATGCATATAAACATAAAGCATCCTTGTTATTTCCTCTAGCTACATTGCTTTTAATGATAGGAAGAAGCAAACTAGACAGTATATATTCACACAACAACACATATATTATATCATCTCTTAGAAACTGGGGTCATATTTTCTTAAATTCCTCCTGCTTGTTCATATGGAAGAATTACCCTTTCAGGATTTGTTTAAATGTTAGAAAAGAATACATTGGCTAAAGGTTGTATTTTCTAAAGTGTGTAATAAAGCTTAGTGTCCGACTCCTACTGAAAGTCAGCAGGAGTAAGGCATCCAACTCCCTGTGGGGTTTTCAAAAGTATCTTATTTAAAGAAAAACCAAAACACTTGCTTGCCCTTGTGCAAGCATGTTTTCGGTTTAGTTCATGTTGTATTACTTTGGTGAACGTACAAACAATGATTTCATGAATGAATCTAACCAAGAACATAAATCATTGCCTTTTAAACACAAATCTATAGAGCAACTTCATCATGCCTCATATTGGGCCTCACCCTGCTCGTATTGAAGTCAGTGGGGAAACTAATCACTGAGAATGATTAGGCCTACAGTCTCACAGGAACATGCATGCTTCTGCTCCAGTGTGCTGCAGTAGAATGTGGGCAGAAGTCTATTGGTGCATCAGTACTTCATGGAAGATGCATGGAGCAGCTATGGAAATGTTTTTCAGTTTTCGCTCAGTTAAGTGTTTTATGTATTCTAGACCTACAGAAATTTAATCTGCAGTATGGCCTCTCAATCCTAATTTTTTTTAGATCAACCACTTTGTCAAATATTTTTATTTATGCTCGCAAGATGTTGTAAACAGCAAACAGAGCACAAGCCACTGAACAATGCCTATTTGTAGAACTCCGCTGATAATTATTGACAACAGGCTAGGTGGTGATGATGACAATGATGATAGCAAACAAAGCAGTTTTTGTTGGGTCATATGCAAGAAACCAGGAAATTGGTGGTTAGTAGACAGAAAAGAACAACATTTATTAATTGAGACCTTTGGACAAGATCCTCAGGTGGTGCAAGTTGGAAGAACCCACCACACGGCAAAGAAACAATACTGATTTACACTAGCTGGGCATCTGGCCCCTCAGATTCAAATTTTAAGAGAGAACAAAGTAAAACCAAAAATACATGATTAAACTATTATTGATAGCATCCCTTCCTCAAATGATCAGTTGTAGCTGTAAAAAACATCCACAACTGATGAAGCTGAATGTTTATAATCAAGTTCAAAGATGATTTTAGGAAATTTTTGAGATGGCACTCTAGCTGAGTGTTAACACTTGGGTCAGCAGTGACACCCTGGGAGCTTGAAATTGACATGTTCCTTTGATTAACTTTATTTATCTTAATTATGTACCCAACAAATTGTTGATGTAAGAGTACCAACAACCCTACTATTACATTTAGGATTATCAGGAAAGCTGTGTGCATTTAGTCAATCTGAGAATTGTCCTGATGTGTAACAATCCTATCTGTCATTCCTAAATCCTGAACATACAGGGCCTTGTCTACACTCGTTAGAATTATGCATATGCAGGGAGCTATGTGGGCCAATTTAGGTTTTGTACAGCGGCTTGTTAATAGGGCTCATCCTTGCCTATACTACCAATTTTTTTCTTTGCATTTTGTGCTTTAAAGTGCATATATATTTTATATACATTAGAGATGGACCCAAGCTCCTAAAATGCTTGTGAAATTCAGATTTGGAAATGAAATTTGACAAAAAGCCCATCGCCTAATTTTTTTTTCTTATCACACTTAAACAGAGATTTACCTAAGGCTTTCTTACTAGCTAACTTTTGTGCAGCTGCTTAAAGTAATGCTGTGTGTAAACACAAAAACATGCAGATCAATGAAATGTATTAGTAGACAAAACTTGCGCAAATAAATTAATCCTTTTATTGGGGTGGTAACAAAAGTTTAAGACTACATCATTGTGCTGGCACATGTTTCTGGCAGTGTTTGTCCATAACAGCCATGTGCTAAGTGTTCTTTGTGGTGCTAAACTAGATAGTCAAAGCTGTAATAATTACTGACACAAAGATAGTGCTGAAAAATGATGTATTAGATCACAGAGAACGGTGGTGGTAGGACAACAACTAGTATTGCTAAATATTTTGAACGGGTAAGGAATTGATAATTTCTGACATATAGCCATAGTTGGTATGTACAGTGGCCCTGGAATTTGGAAAGTGAGTTTAAACATTGTTCTAAAAAAAAAAAAAACAATTTTGAATAGAACCGGTATTGCTGGAAATACATTCAGCAATGATTTCCAAATTTTGTTCCGAGTTAAGCATTGATAGGACCGGAGGCTGATAATGGTGGAGATTTCATTGTAGAAGAGACTATAGGAATAGAAAATTGATTTTTTGAGACCATTAATCTTGCTTTTTACTATAAATACATCCTTGTAGTTTTTCCACATATAAGCTTCCTGAAAGTCTAGTATTGAACTTTTAAAATATTGTACATTAACAAATCACGGTGGATGAGAATCAAAGTGAGTATGGAGTAGGTGCCCAATTCTATATACAGTAAAACTCCATTGGTCCAACACCATCAGGAACCCGGAAGTGCTCCAGGCAGCCGGACCATTGGAGCTGCCCTGCCCCCGGCTTCCCCGATTCAGCCGCTGCTGAAACTGACCAGCAGGGGCAGAGCAGCTGGGGTGCGTGCCAGTAGATCACGTAGCACTGCCCCTCGGCACTGCAGGACCAACCTGGCAGCACCCCAGCTGCTCTGCCCCAGGCGTCCCCAAGTCAGCCGCTGGTCAGTTTCAGCAGCGGCTGAATCGGGGAAGCCGGGAGCAGAGCAGCTGGAGTGGTGCCAGTAGATCACGTAGCACTGCCCCTCGGCACTGCAGGACCAACCTGGCAGCACCCCAGCTGCTCTGCCCCAGGCGTCCCCAAGTCAGCCGCTGGTCAGTTTCAGCAGCGGCTGAATCGGGGACGTCTGGGGCAGAGCCGGACTATCGGAAGGGGGGGGCTATGAGGGGCCTGGGGTGGCATCCTCCCCACACCACCCTAGATCCCTCATAGCATCCCCTTCCGATAGTCCGGTATATCTAATAATCCGGCACCCCCTGGGTCCTAAAGGTGCCGGATTATCGGAAGTTTACTGTAGCATATGACTTAAGACCTAAAAGCAGTACCAGTCTGCCTTTGTTTTGTTGTAACTGCAGGATGACGACAACTGCCAGGTTTTTATGCTGGCAAGCTCAAATGTCAAGCAGTTTTTAATTTCCAAGATATAAGTACAAATATTATTGTTTTTATTAAAGGTAGACAAACTTATGTAAGTAGCCTGTAGGTCCCTGTTTGCACACTGACGTTGTACCTGCACATGTGCACTTAAAAGAGAAAATATTTTCATAGAAACGATTGTACTGACTTTTTGCACTTTGTTACAGAACTGGGCATTGTGTTTCTTTGGATGCTTACTAATTTGCTTCAAAATGTTGTATCTTGAAACAACTGCTATAGTTTTATTTCTGAATAGTGCATTTTAACCCTGTGTGCTTGATTATATAAAAACAGTGGCTACAGTAGTGGAAAAATAAGTAAAACACAGATAACAATATAAAGCTACTGAGTTCTGGCCATTAAAAGTCCTATATTTTCTTCAGTTTAAGATGTATTGTTTTTTCCCTACTCTTCCCCTCCACGTCTTCATTGTGTCTGCCTCACATCTTTTGGGTCATTATTTTTAACTTGCAAATTTACTCCTGGGGGAATTCTGTGACTAAACATTGTGCACTAAAATTATACACATTTAAAAAAAATAATGCAATATAATCATGCTACTTTCAAATATTTTGGTAACATTTTAAACTACAGCACAAAGATGGAGAATGGAATTGGAGAGCATTGGAGGAAATCCCCAAACCCCCTCTCACAGTAATGTAGCCAGTATTTACCCTTTACTTCTAGGTATTACTAGTCAACAGATCTATGCAGCTATGTGCTCAATGTTACATCATAGGCAACTGAAGGGCAAGTGCGGGCAGGGGACTCAAACTCATAATTTATGTTGACTACTGGCCAGCTCCAGAAAGGTCAGTAACAAACAGTTCATGGACTACATTTTGAAAGACTGAAAAAAATTCCTAACCCCCCCCCCCCAAAGTGATGTTATGGTTACCAGCTGCTCTGAGCTATCCAAACTGACCTGCATGCACTGCTGGAGAGGGACTCACAACTGCTTTTGTGGCTTCCATTTACTTCCCCATCAGAAATCATTTTTCTGCAGGGAATCAAAGACATTGTGGGGTCTATGCATTCTACACACATGCAGTCATGTAGAATTCCCCCAAGAGTACAAATTGTATCTGACTTGCTGTTGTCTAGCAGGTAGGAGTCTCACAAAATGCCTTGTTTAAATCAGCCACACAGGAAATTCCCTCTCTCATCAATTCCCTTCCCACTGACCATCCATGATGGATGTCATCTTATTGCCTGGTTCATAGTGAGAAGAAACACAACCTATAGGAGACCTGACCTATCAAGTAATCTTGTGTTGGAGGAGTGGTGGCCATGTGGTAACCCTATTTACCTCCTTTTTTGAGGCATAAGAGATCTTGTGCAAAAGGGGTTTTTTTTGCGCAAAATGGACCAATCTACAATGTTTGATTTTGTGCAGGAACCTGTGCAAAAAGCATTGGCAGAGATATGCAAATGACAGCGCAACAAATGCTAATGCATACTCATTAGCATACTCTTTGCTGACATACCTGCAGTGTAGACGTAGCCTATATTTGGGTCATTTTTCAAGGCTAGCTAGTGCATGTCTATAGTTCCTGAAACAATAGCTCAGAAGTGTGACCTACCTCATTCATTTCTGTGGATGCTAATCAGATGCTTAATGATAATTTAGATTCAATCAGTGATGAGAGGAAAAACCATATTTATAAAGACCTGCACAATCTATTGGGACCAACAGCTTTTTTAGCCATACTAACTAAAAGAGTGGGTGAGAGAGCACACCACCATTTTCCTCCCCAAACAAGAACAGTTTTAGCAGGTCTGAACTGAAGCACCACGCTCAGGATGTCTAGCAGGTCACACAAACTTCAGGCAGGGGAAACGAACCCTGTGAAGCCCAGTGGAATTGATGGACTTGGTGTCTTCAACCCCCATGGAGGGCAATTAAATTCTGATAATGTGCAGCTTGCTGTTAATGGTACTTGGGTCAGAGCTTAAAGCATCACTACCTTCTCCTGCCACCCAGACTTTTACCACTGGGCCTCATCCTTCAAACACCAGAGTCAGTATTTTTGTCATTAATTCTTTGGAGTAAGGCAGTGTTTCCCAATTTTATTTGGCCAAGGAACCCTTTTCAGCTTTTCAGAATTTCAAGGAACCCCTAGGTTTGTCAAGCAAAAAAAAGGGGGGGATCCTTCAAACACCAGAGTCAGTATTTTTGTCATTAATTCTTTGGAGTAAGGCAGTGTTTCCCAATTTTATTTGGCCAAGGAACCCTTTTCAGCTTTTCAGAATTTCAAGGAACCCCTAGGTTTGTCAAG